CCAAGCCAAGCCAAGCCAAGCCAAGCCAAGCCAAGCCAAGCCAAGCCAAGCCAAGCCAAGCCAAGCCAAGCCAAGCCAAGCCAAGCCAAGCCAAGCCAAGCCAAGCCAAGCAGGCAGAGAGAGAGAGAGACAGACAGATATTGCATTACATTACATTACATTATATTATATACTATCATGTTCATGAAGAACATTTCAGGCCTCCCTCACCTGGACGTCGTGGCCCTGCGGCGCTCTGCGGCTGCCAAATGACCACATCCCCACAGTACCTGAAGCCAAACGCAGGGACAAGAAATCAAATTTGTTTGAGACTTGGCAGCATTAACTTGTAGATCTTGTAGATAGATCCTCTACACAAGTTTCAAAGCTATGAAGCCTGGGCAAGCAAAGCGTATCTGATGATAAGATGACATCAAGGGTGCAAGCCCTCTTCCTTCATTGTTTTCTCAATGTCCCGGGGCTTGATCTCCTGTGTCGGCTCGATGTGCCAATGCAGAACGACCAAAACACTGAAATGTTAAAAGCGTTCTTGTTAGTCGTTGCAAGGGGCAGTCAAACTTCATATGGCAAACACAGGGTCTCTCACTCATCACAGACTTGAGAACCCTATCTCAGTCCATTGTGAGCTTGTCTCCTTGGCTGCTCTGCCAAACTCTTCCCAGCACTGCCACTGCGTGTTTGGAGGTGGAGCGGCTACCTTCTCAGTTGAGCCCTTGAGCTTTTGACAAAATGCCGCAAAACACTGCTCAAATATCTCCCAGGATTCTATGTATATACTATATACTATATACATTTGCCGATCGCCAGCCTCCCCTTGTTGCACAAAGAGTTGCAGTCGCTGTGACAGCCAGGAGTCCTCCGGGTGTAGCATCACCTGCAAGTGTCGCTTCTTCACTGGTAGTGCTCTTCGGATGCAACTCAATTGCTTGGACCTTCAGTGGCTCTGACAGCTGTGAATAGTAACAGCCTTGGCACTCAATCAAAACAGATTTCCAACTCTACCAGCATGTTTAGAAGAGCCAACTGAAACTTGGTGCTACCAGCACAATCCAACAAGCACCCAAACAGTCTCCATGAATGCCTCTCTGCAAGCTGACACGGTGTCCCCACCCAAGGTCACAATCACTTGCTTCACGGGACAGAAGTACCTGGAGACTGGAGACATGATGAGCTGCAGCCTGCACCCAAACACAAAACATGTTTTACAAGAGACATGTCAAGCTTCTTCTAAAGCTACAAGAGACTCAACACTTGTCCAAAGAGCACTTCACTATAAGTAGTATCAGCTCTTCTGTCCACTCGGACAGTGCGTGGAAGACCTGCAAAAAAGAAGAGCAATTCCTGGGAAGGAAACCAAGAGCATAAGTCCATGTGTCCGATATATGTGTATATATATATATATATGTGAACCTCCAACTCCTGCAAAAGTCAAGCGATGTATTCAGGTTGTTGTTATATAAGTAGTTTTACCACTATTAATAATATATATATACTGTAAACACTATGCATGGCAGTGACACTAAGGTATTACAGGAATCTGTCATATTGCCATGTTTCTTATTGCCCAGAATACCAAAGTTGAAATTCTTCTGTTGCTTCGAAACTCAGAGCTGTCATATGCGGCCAAGCACTCACTTGCGCACTGGAAATTTACCTCACTTGCGCACTTTACCTCACTTGCGCACCGAACACTCATTTGCGCACTTTCAGAGGGGAGAAGGTGAAAGGAGATTCAACCACCAAACAATCTAATGAATCTAATGGGTGGGTGGGGGGATGGGTGGCAACAGGCTCTGAAGAGTAGAACACGGACGCAACCAACAGGCAATCTACAACCACCGGACAATCTATTGGGTGGGGTGGGGGGTGGCAACAGGCTCTGAAGAGTAGAACGAGTGCTCGCCCTCATATGCCATGCATGCCCAGAAATCTTAATCATAATCATATGCATGAGCTTAACTGGCTTAAACTGAAATTTTTGTCGGCTCTGCTTAAACAGGAAGCAGCACTGATCTAACCCCACCTTCAAACTAGTAGAATGTCGACAATCTCAATAGCAGAGCTTCAGAAGATCAAGATCCAAATCCGAGGTCAGCACATCCTCCGTCTCCTGGCTGCTGGTCTCCAATGTCTGCGGGTCGTAGCCTGCAGCTAGAAATGCAAGGAATTCAAAGCCACTAAGCCCAAGAGAAACTCGTCAAAATACCATGTCGGGTTTTATCAAACGAGTAAATTGCTTTTTTCATGGTTTGTGTTTTGAATGCGGTATACCAAGTCTCCTGCCCTGAGAGACCATGACTAGAATAGAGATCTGAGGATCCTGGTGAGCCAAGCTACATGTGTCTTGAAAGGCATGTGCTACATGTGTCTTGAAAGCTTCTTTCTGCCAAATTGTCTTGGACCCCACACCAGTGCTGCTGACTGTATATGACATTTCAAAGCGTCATCCAGCGGAAGATGCTTGAAGCGCCTTGGAGAGTCGGAGGATGTTGGATGTCACGCTGGCGACCATCAAGTTGAGGTCTGGAGACCTTCTGAGGATCCCCACATCTGCCTTGTTTTGCGCTGAGTTAAAGCAAAGAGAGTCACATGGTCTTCTGACCTTAAGGACTCGCACCCTAACAGAAACTGAAATTGAAAATTCCTCCATCAACGTCCCAACAGGAGCCACTCATTCCAGCTCACTATGAAGGCACTGTGTGGCCCATACACATTTTGTTCCACCAAAGGCTGCACTTCCATGGCTTCTCGCAGAAGTGCCTCCACCAGAAATTGAAAGTCAGCTAGGCAGGAATCTGAATGTGTTCAGTGCTGTCTATATTCTATATAATATGCACTTGTTGGAGTTTACAAGATGTCATAGGACAAACCGTTTCCCTCGCCTCTGTGGTCTCTTGGCCGTCAATCTTCATGGTCTGGCTCATGGGGAAGTTGTCTTGCGCTGGCCAAAAGCCCTGGCAGTGCAGGTGATAGAATGCTACGGAGAAAAAGGCCTCAAGGCTGAAGCTTGATATCACAAATTGCAATGTACGACTATGATGGAAACAAATACTACACCATCATTTCTTCAGGTCGGAAATATATAGTGTGAATTGTCAGGAGCACGAGATTGAAGACTGGACTGGCGCATCAATTTACAAACCATTATAAATCTCTGCACAAAGCTTAGGCTCAAAAGCTACCACCTTGACTCAAGGACTTGCTTCAGCCCCCAGACCGGTCACAAACAGCTCTTTAACGCCTTCATCTTCATGAGATCACGCTCAAAAATGAGCTTCACCTGTCCGGACTTTTAAATTCCACGTGACCATGAGAGAAGAAAAAGATACCTTGTTTATTTGTTTTCACTTTTTTTGGGGGGGTAGGCCGCGAGTCAAGGTAGATATATAGTATTATAGAGGTAGCTAGTAGCTAGGGAGTCGCTACTACCGACAGGACGCAGGATATCTCGCGCTTCTTCAAGGAAGCTCCCCCCAGCCATTCTGGTTCACAGCTGGGTGGCTCACGCCCGTTCGTGAGGGCCGGGGCCTGGCTACTCACCACTCTGGTGAGGGTCAGGCGTCTACAGATCTCGGTCTCACCAGACCGGGAATCACATGGACATCATGGATAAGACGAGAGAACGTGGATCTTGGTCGAAAGATAGCTTTGTTGGGTGGGCCACTGCGGGCTTGGCTGAACCACTCGGCGCTTCGGTTCGGGATGCGTTGCACGCCATTGCTGCTACAGGTGATGTTTGTCCTCATGCTGATCGCTGGGTCCTGTTTGGGGAAGTGACCGAGCTGGTTTGCCCTGACCCGCTTCATGTCCAGATTTGCCGCAAGTCAATGCTTCTCCAGGATGTGATTGTGAGGGATGAGTGGTCACAATTTGACCTCATGTGCTCAGGTTCCCATCAGCGAGTTGACTTCACTGAAGGTATGTGGATCGGGGTCTATGTGAAGTCCAGTCAGTGCACCCAGGCTGGTCGGATTCAAGCAGATGAATCTGTTCCTATCTGGAACCTACCGCAGCTAGACAAGCACCTGGCATGGAATGCTAGCCATCTCTTTGCAGGGGCCTATGAAGGCTGGTTGAGGGCCATGTGGTGGCTTCAGCAGACAAATTTGGGATACTCCTTTGCATCCCATACTTCCGTTGATTGGTGCCAAGAAGTCATGAAGACATGGAGCTTCAATCATGGCTGCAGGGTTCAGCATGGTCCCATTGGGATTGACTACAATCCGACCGAAGTCTTCAGTGGCATCTGCGCTGACATCAGTGAGTCTACTCTGTTGCGAGCTACATCTCACAAGTCCAACTTGGTTATGACCCTTTCTCCTCCATGCCCCAGCTGGAGCAAAGGAGGGAAGCACTCGGGCTTGGCTACCGATGAAGGCTTCTGCTTTCTTGATGCGATCCAACATGTGGCTCGAGTTCGGCCTATTATGGCATTGTTCGAATGTTCTGATGGTATTGAGTCTCACCCACACTGGCGGGTCCTCTCTGCTGCTCCACAACTAGGAGGGTACAAGAAAGTTTTGAAGGAGTCTCTGGAGACACACATCCTAAGCTGGCTCTTGTGCAACAGTGTTGGAGTGACAGACTAACCGTGGATAAGGCTCTGATCAGGCAGTGCGATGACATGTTTGCGCTTCAACCATTTGCGGATTTCATTGCCAAAGCACATCCGAGTATTCTCACGCGGCAACCATGGCTCGCTGGAGGCACTCTGATCCGGTTTGGAGATGATCTGAGTCTCATTCCAGTGAATGTTCCGGTTCTGATGAGAATTATTGACCAACTCTTGGAGCATCTGGACCCTGCGAGTTATCATGCACAGCTCCTTCAGTTGATGGTTGGTGGGCAGACTCTTCCTCAAGATACTGCTTGGGATGCGCTACCAAGAGGGGATGTACTGGTGAAGTTGGGACCCCATCTGCTTTGTACTCTCCACATTGCCCGAGCTATACCTGATGCTGATGGGGCCGACCCCATTGTGTCTCCCACTCAGCCATGGGGCCTGGATGATGATGACCCAGAGCTTGATCATCTGCAGGAGGCTATGCAAGCAGGCTTCTTCCATGTTGTGGAATATGTCTGTCAAGACCCAGAACCCATGCGAATTGGTAAGGTCCTTTTGCTGCAACAGGATGGAACGTTTGAGTGGATCAGGGATGCCAACCAGGATCGGTTAGGAAGCATTCCATCATTTCGATCACAAGGATCCCAGATGTACTTCTTCAAAGCAAACCATGACGCTTGCCAGAGACTGTTGGGGGTCCATGTCATCATGGCCATCCAGGACAGGAGCTGCGATGGTGTAAGATTTGCCAAGCGCCGAGAACTATCACACCACGCCAGTGCAATGAATTGTTTGAGCAGCAATGCAATATTACCCTGCGGAACATGATTGAGCGCCGTATTGATCAACCTATGATGCTCATCAATGGTGATGTTCTTTGGAGTGGACCTTGGGCTCAAAACGGGACCCCATTGGCATTTGGAGGTATGGATCGGTTGTCGGAGCAACCCAGCTGCAACATCAGGAATGACACACTTGGTGCTCGCCTCCTCCAGTTCAACCTTGAACCAGGCGCCATTGCTATGGATGAGATGGTGTACCACTTTGATTTTCTGCAGATGCTGATGCCTTCCATTTGCTGGTGTCCACCAGGTCTATGGGTCACAAATGAATCTCAGTTTCGATTTCCTACCCATCCTGCAGACCTCCAGTTGTGCTACCAACACTTCGTGGTGCCGGTTTTGGTTGTGTTTGATTGGATCTTTGTCGAAGTCAGGTTCTTTGAAGGACAATGGAGGGTGCTCTATCACTCTCCTGAACAGTTGACTATCCGGCGGACAACAGCAGTCTTGGAATTGGAAAATGTAATGGGTATACAAGTTGCTCCCAATGCCTACCGATGGGTTCGCACTGCTGAAGATTCTGAGTTGGCCCCATGGCACACTCTGCGAACTTTCTATGCGCGTGCTGGTGCCCCATTGCTCCCAACTTCACACAGGAGCACTCAGAGGCTGCAGAGGGACCAATTCTCCACTCATGTCACGCAGATCATTGATCAAGCTGACTTTGTCTGGAGGGAGACGAGGGCGGATGATCGGCTCATCCAGTTTGCCCAGGCTTCCCGGACGGCGTTCCTCATTGCAATCGCCGAGTCCCCAAGCCGAGCTGATGATCTGATTGTAAGAGCTACTGGAAGGCATTTCTATGTCTTTGACATTCGGGAGATTTTCTTCATTGCTGACGATTGGCTTGAAATGAGGCTCAACATCTACCGCACACACCCAGGGTGGATGACAAGTGATGAGATTGAGTTTGCTATGAGCTTTTTCCCCCCCAGACTCATTCTGCCCACCAGTTCTTCATCATGATCTTTCACTGATTGCCCCAAGTGTCAAGCCTAATTGTCTGGATGTTCAGAGATTTGTAGCACTCCGGGAAGGACATTGGATAGGAATTGAGGTCATCTGCAATGCCCAAAAACACACCTGCAGGACGGTATTTCTACAAGTCCCACCTAGGGACCAGCAGTTTTGGCACGACTTCGCCATTGACTACATCATTCCGTTTGGCTTCCGACCGATTGCGATCATCGATACGAGTCGTACACGGCCTGGTGTGCGTGGGTGGGAGTTGCTCCATAGATGGATTGTGGCTGATATTCACTTGCCTGACTCATTTCACATTCCACATCAGAAGAGACTGCTGATTGACGCTATCCTTGATGAATCAAATCAAGCCTGGCGGGAAGCTGGGGCCCCTCCTATGCTTCGCACTTTTGCTGAAAACCTCCGGAGGCTTTTTCTGGTGGTTGGGGGAATGCAGTTTATCCAACCGTGCTCAGCTGTCTCATTGGGAGGAATGGAAGGCCAGTCAAGTGGGAATACAACCATGCAGACACCTGACCCTTGGCAGACGGATGATCCATGGAAACAAAAGAAGAAGGTGATTAAGCAGAGCAAGTGGGAGGATCTCCAGCTTCAATCAGACCATCCATTTGTCACCAAGGACAAATCACCCTTGCCGTTCGTTCAGAAACAACAGCTGTCAACCAACAGAGGTGGCATTGCGTTTGTGTCCAAGGGAAACCTACCACAAGCACGTGAGATTGTTCCCAAGGAACCTTGTGCACTCCTCCTTCCAATGATTGATCCGACTGACCCCTTGGCCAAGTTAGCGAATCTCACTGGACCCTTTGAAGTCATTGTCTTTGACCCAGAGCTGAATCAAGAGTACAAAAGACAGGTCCATCTTTTGGTGGTTACACCTGAGGTCCATTTCGCATTGCCTGCTCCTGCTATCACGCTTAAATTAGCAGCAGTTTGTGAGATCGTCCTGGAGTGTGATGCTCGCCTGACGTCAAAAGATGTCTTCCAGAGCTTCTATGACAACCCGCTGGCCAAGTTCAAAGTGCAACTGAAGGAGGTGTGTCCAGACCCCATATGCCATCTACGGATATCGTGCAGTCCAAGAACACTCAAAGGAGCGACATGATGTGATCCACCAATGCCTTCTCAAGGCGCAGCAGAAACATAGGGTTCCCCTTCTTTCAGCCAGCGGAGCCGGTGACCTGGTTGTGCGTGACTTCATTCCAAAGGGAGAACAGGTTCATGATCTGTCAATCATCCCAAGATTTTGGGCCATTGATCGAGCTAACAAAGCCGACCTCCTCAAGGCAGCCTCATCAATCACTGGCTATCGGGGAATTGCAGTCACCAAGCGTGGGCTTGCATCGAGGTTTGCCACGGACTCTCTTGCCACAGCAAGGGACCTCCTGCTGCCACAAGATGACCGTATTTGTTCAATCAACAAAGCAATGATTCCCAAAGTGAATATGGATAGTCTTGGGTGGCCAGCAGAGATCCTCGCCAAGGACATCGTCTCAGCAGTGCACCAAGCGACCAAGGAGGCTTGCATCCCCACCCGTTCATTCCGTAGGGCGGGGGTATGCGCCTGGACGCTTTCGTTTGAGAAGCCACCAACTCTCACCAAGTTCTCGGTGCAGGTGAACGGGAAGGCATTTGAGGTTCTGCTCACACCCGTCTACTACAAGACTACCCCCAAGGGGAAAGGCAAAGGCAAAACTGCCAAAGGTGGTCAGCATGGTGGTACTGAAGCCCTACCACCAAAGGGTGCGATCTCCAAGTAGATTCACAATGAGCGCATTGATCGGTTGGAGGAGCAAGTCGGGCGCCTTGAACAGAAACATGAGCGCCTCAGTGAGAAAGTGGATCATCAGTTCAACCAAGTGGGGGATCAACTTCGCCAGATTCTTCAAT